TATTGTATTTTCTTATTAAATATCTCATTGCATCTTGCCTCATCCCCGTTATGTCCTGTCAGTAAGTTTACGATATCACAACTTATCAAATCGCTATCGAAGCCATCAAAATTTTGAATTAGCAAAGAATATTTCCTGAGCATTTCATTGGGAACTGAATGAGGCAAAAAAAAACATCATTGAGCATGAGTGATTCAATGAGATTTTGCAACAACAAATTAGAGCCCATTGATATTCCTCACGATTGAGCCCACCCTTTGATATTTGTTTAAAATGCTTCAAAATTTTGCGATAGTATTTTCAGCACTATTGGACGGAACTGAATAGGGATTCTGAATTTCAGTTCGATGATACCCTTGGTTTCTATCCGATTCGACAGAAAGGTGGTGGAATATCTCCTTTGGGTAGTCCGCTTTCATTGCAGAAAAAAGGCGCACGTTTTGGCACGAACGTGCCAATGATCACTGAACTTGGTTCGATTTCTTTTTAGTCTCAGCCACATGCCTTACAGTTTCGTACCACTCTCTGCAATAATCGCAAGAAACACTTCGGTTTCGCGACTGAGTACTTTTTCGACGATATGGCGGTCGAAAAATTCCCATCTCTATCAAAATTCCTCTTTGGTATCGTCGTGTTCACTTTACGAACGCGATAACCAACAAAACATGCTGGCACTTTGGTTTCTTGTTTACCACTAAATACACGAATGAAAATGAGCAAATCATAAGCTCTTATGATGTATGTGCTTGCGAAATGCTGCGACTAAATAACCTCCAAGTGATTCGTTGGTTAATAGGTGGAGCTGCTGTGCAGCCGAAATCGTAACGATTACAAGTTTTAGTGAATGATTCGAATGTGCAATTTTTGGATCAAGATGACGACGACGATCCAGACACGGAACTCTACTTGACGCAACCGTTTGCGTGTGGTACTGCCTTTGCGATATCAGTTCTTGATTCACTGATGAGCACGGTTAATTTTCGTTCTCAATCTTTTATTCGTTTCGAACAATGTGCGATGCGTTATCTCAGACCATAAACTGCCCATTGAAAATCTACTGAAACGGTTCACTGAATGCTCACAGTTGTGTGGTGGTGGTAACGATGTTACCTATGTAAAGATCATTATTCGTTTGGAAATTCTATCGTGAAAAGAGAACACATCTAAGCGAGTAGGGCATTCACTGACATCAGATCATTGGAATTTGGCTGATGGCTAAACTAGTAAGAA